ACCGCGGGACATACTCAATGCATTAAAACTTGGCGAGCCCATACAGCTACGGTCTGAGATCTAAGCCGGGAATGTGCAGAAAGCAGGTCTGTTTCTACTAGAGCCAACAAATTTGGTTCATGCCTTTGGGCTATTTAACATTTTTATCAGCGACCCAGGAGAAAGCCCAAAGCATTCCCAATAAAGTTAGCTGATGACATGGGAGTTGTAGTGTGGTAAATACTGGAGATGATGGGTTCCTGATACGCAGCAATCCAGATGCCTCGGCGAGCACAAGCAAGAAACATGCGTTTCAGCACAACACACATCAGATCACACCTCCAGCGACAAGGACAAGGGCCACGGCAGTTATCTCCTCCCCATCCCACCTGGGAGGACAAGAGTCCTTCAATAGCACCCAGAGAAACGCCACTGCCGAAGCAGTTAAAGCAAAGGGAGATGTAGGATGAGGGAAATCTCAGCCTCTCCTCTGGCATTCAGCTGATCGCTGTGAGCATCCTGTACGTGGGACGGCGGATCTGCCAACGGAAAGCAGTGCCAAGAGCTGGGAAGAGCCAAAAACACTGGCCAAGAGCCTTACCAGGGGGCCGTGGATTACTCTTAACCAGGCACACGGGAAGCAGACACGCGGCGACGGCCAAAGTTCACCCAGATCCGAGCGCTAGGCGCAGCCGGGGGTAAGAACACAGGAGCGACCGCTGGAAGCGTTTAACGGGCAATTCTCCATCTCTGGAAACATTTACATCATGATTGGCTGTATCTGCTCCAGCTCAACCAGGAACGCTTCCTGTAAGAGCTTAATTACCCCTAGGGCCTTACAATTTATTGGCTGGGTCCAGCATTATCAGTGGAGACCCAGACCTGAAACAGGCATGAAGCCATAAATAGCCTCTTATCTTCAAAACATCACGTACTTACGGGACGTGGCTGTAAGACAGCTAGGACATACCCTTCTCCAGCACATCAGAAAGCTGCACACCCTTCTAAGGCCTTCACACATACCTGCCCACTCCGAAACCCAAGCACGACCCAGCTGGGACAGATCCCCATTGCCTCCCACACCTCTGCGAAGGGAGGAAGAGCTCTGGGTCCTCGACACACGTGTACGGGGCACATCACTGCTGCTGCACTCCCATGCCCAGCACACCGTGGGGTGGTGGCAGATCTGCGTGTTGGACCTCAAAATGGAACATGCCAGCACAGGCAGGGATGCCCATCGTGGAGCCCACCTGTAGGACACACATCCATGAGGGTACAGCCCCACCAAAACCCACCAGCCAGCCCTCCACAGCCCCAGACTGGGACACCTCAAGTACCAGCCATTGGTCACATTTCTCCCTTTAGAGCTGGATCTGGGCTGGATATGTGCTGGAGCTGACCCAGGAGTATCCAGCTGGGTTGGGGATGGAACTGGGCTGTGGTGTTGGTGGGGCTGAAGAAGACCAACTCGGTGAGGATCCCCATGTCCTCCTTCCTGGCTCTACCTCCGAGGGAAGGAGCAGGAGGAGGACACTGCATGCTCTGAAGGGAACACACTGTTGAGCCCTCAGGCTCCCCAAAGGGGTGGTCCGGTTCCACCTGAAGCTGGAGAAGACAGGTGGCAGCCTAGATCTCCTGCAGACAACTTAGGTGACCAGGTTCCTCCTCTTCCCAGCACGTCCCCACTCTCCTCCTCAGAAATGCCTGTGACCCCAAGGGATGATGCCACTCATCTCTGTTAAGCAAGGGACTGTCCCCACCAGCTTCCATGGGGCAAAACCATCCCTTGTTACCACGGCAAAACCAGGACTCCCAGCCGCACCCGGTGCCGCAAAGAAGAGGCTGCCCGCCATGAAGGGCGGGACCAGACGTAGCGGCGG